CCTATGTAATCTCAGTCAATGAGTTTCCTACCAATACAACATCATCAACATATACAAGTAGGGCAGTAAAATCAGAATTATTATGTTTAACATAAAGAGAATAGTCAACTTGAGATTATTGATACCCAAGAGAGATCAGAAAAGCATATAATTTGGAATACCACTGCCTGCTAGCCTGTTTCAATCCATATAGTGATTTTTGCAATCTGCAAACTTTGTTAGAATCAAAACCAGACAAACCAGGGGGCAATGCATGTATACCTCTTCAGATAAATCACCATGTAAAAATGAATTGTTACATCTAATTGCTCTAAATGCCAACCTTTTATGGCTACAAGTGAGAGAAGAACTCTAACAGTGGTGAGTTTGGCTACATGAGAAAAGGTATTGAAATAATAAATTCCCTCAATTTAAGTGTATCCTTTAGATAGAAATTTTTCTTTGTAACGTTCAATAGATCCATCTGTTTTGTGCTTGACCTTATATACCCAATGACAACCAATTGGAAATTTTCCAGAGGGAAAATCCACCACAACCCATGTTTGATTCTCTGCAAGAGCTTTAAGCTCCACATACATAACATTTATACCTCTTCATACAAATCACCATGTAAAAACGCATTGTCACATCTAATTGCTCTAAATGCCAACCTTTTTATGGCTGCAAGTGAGAGAAGAACTCTAATAGTGGTGAGTTTGGCTACATGGGAAAAGGTATTGAAATAACCAATTCCCTCCATTTGAGTGTATCCTTTAGCTAGAAATTTGGCTTTGTAACGTTCAATAGATCCACCTGCTTCGTGCTTGACCTTATATACCCAACGACAACTAATTAGAACTTTTCCAAAGGGAAAATCCACCACAACCCATGTTTGATTCTCTGCAAGAGCTTTAAGCTCCACATCCATAACATTTATCCAATAATCATGTTTAATGGCTTGTTTATAGGCGGTTGGTTCAAATATGGATGATATGTTGCAGCAGTATTTCTTGTAAGAGGGAGAACATTTGTCATAAGATATGACAAAAGAGAAGGGATCGGTAGTTTGTGTTTGTATAGAAGGAAGGTGGGAAGTGTTTTTGTTATTGTTATCATGATATCAATGGTAATCTGCAAGATAGGTTGAAGGATTGGAAATACGACTAGATTGTCTAGAAGGTACATTAGAAGGTCTTATATGGTTATCCTGGTTTTCTTGAAAATTATTAGAAGAACTATGGTTAATAGGATTGTGGGAGGATAAGGATTCATAAGATTCAATGGATAAAGGTGAACCAAGATTATCAGTAGGGTTGGGACCAACTTCAGGTGGATTAGTCACATGAAGTACATGGGCAGAATAGTTATTTGGATGTCTAAAAGGAATATGCTCTGTGTTAGTACCTGAATGGTCACTATCAGAGCTGGGAGTAGCAGACTGCTGCTGCGGGCTAGGGGAAGAGTTGTTGTTATCAAGGAAACCTGATACATCATTAGAAGAAGGATACTGATGTGACAATTCAGGGTCAACATAGGTGTGTTTAGTAGGCAGGATAGATGAGGACTAAATTGTTTTAGGATATTCCTGAGCAGGGTAAAAGGGAAAAACATTTTCATAAAATATGGCATGTCTAGACACAAAAATATTATGGCTTTGAAGATCATACAAAATGTAGCCTTTTGTTCTATCCTTGAAGCCTAGAATGACAATTTTCTTGACCTTTGATCAAACTTGGTTTTGTTTGTCTGATTAGAGGTAGCATAGCTCAAGCACCCAAAAACTTTTAGATGAATTAAGGAGGGAGGTTGTTTGTATGAAAGTTCATATGTGCATTTAAAATTTAGCAGAGGAGTAATGAGTCTATTTATGATGTGGATGTCATGTTGTATGCAAAAATTCCACATGCTAAAAGGGAGCTTAGAATGAAAGTAGAGAGATCTAGCCACATTTAAAATATGCTGATGTTTTCTCTCTACCACCCCATTTTGTTGGGGTGTGTATGCACAAGATTTTTGGTGGATAACCCCTTTTGACAGAAAAATATCTGATAAAGAAAGAAACTCAGTCCCATTGTCTGATCTAAAACACTTAAGATTAGTGTGAAACTGATTTTCAATGTAAGCCATGAACTGAATAATACTCTGCTTGGCTTGATCTTTGGTTTTTAGAAAAATAACCCATGCGTATCTGCTAAAATCATCTACAAGAGTCAAAAAATATTTGTGTCCTAGTATTGAGACGGTAGAAAAAAGGCCCCACACATCAACATGTAAGATTTTAAATGGTATTTTAAATTTTGTATTGCTATTTGGAAAATATAACTTCTTTTGTTTAGTAAAATGACAAGATTCACAAGGATGATTGTTATTACAATTGGATGGAATAAAAGGAAAAAATTTGGACATGTATTGCAGACCTACAGTAGAAATGTGCCATAATCTTAAGTGCCATAGTAAAGAGTTATCTTGTATAGAAGAATTACAAACATGATCAAGGTGTGATGAATCAAGCACATATAGACCTCTTTGAAGCTTAACTGAACCAATCATTTCCTTGAAATGATTCTGCAGGATTTGGCACGAGTTATTAGTGAAATGAACAAAAGAGGAATTATTTTGTACTAGTTTTGCTATAGAGGGTAAATTGACATTGAAACTAGGAATGTATGAGACATTGTGGATAACTAAAGTTGCAGAAAGAGCTATGCTGCTAGAAATATTTGTGGTGACTTGTGAACCATTTGGTAAGATAACATGGATATGAACTATTGTTCTATGTGAAGTGAAATTGGACATGTCAAAAGTTATATGGTCAGTGGCGCGTGTGTCTATAATCCATAGGTGATTGTTCTTACCAGTTTCATGATGAGAGTGAGAATTGAGGATAAATGGTGATGTAGAGATGGGATTGGCTTTAGGGTTGGTCTTTAACTGTTGAATTAATTCCAGAATGCTTTGATATTGCTCTTGAGTGAAGCCAAGCATGGATTAAGACGAGCTTTGTTATGGAAATGTTTGACCTGTTTCAATAGAAGCAATAAATTATGAATTAGAATTAATGGATTTTCCTTTACCTCAAAATCCTGGTGGGTAACCATGTTTTAGAAAACAAGTCTCAATGGTGTGGTTGTTTCTTCCATAATGTGTACAAACTCTATTTGTGCCCTTAGCTCCTCCACAGTTGTTACCCTTGCCTCTGAAATGGTTGTTGCCAGGTCTGCCAAAATTGTTACCAGATGCAACATTCAGATGAAGTGTCGTTGATTCTTCAGAAGAGGTGGAATTCGAAATAACATTTTGAGATATGTTGAGTTCTCTTTCCTTTAGGATAACCAGAGAAAATGTTTTGTCAATGTCAGGCAACTGACTCATCATCATGATTTAAGTCTTGAATTGATTGAATTTTTCATTCAATCCTTTAAGGAAACATATTACATAATATTGCTCGCGATATTTGCGAACAGAGGAAAGAGCTCCACAAGAGCAGGGTATGTTGCAAGAACACACATCAATAGGTCAGTAAGCTTCTAGATCATCCCACATCATTTTCATCTGAGTAAAGTAATTTGAAACATTCAAGCTACCCTGACGAAATCTATACAAGTCTTCCTGAATATCAGATATGTGAAAAATGTCACCTTGCAAAAAACGGATATGCAGGTTTCTCCATACACTAACAACGCTTTCAATCCACAACACGGACTTCACAATCGATTATGATATGGAACGATGAATCCATGCTAAAACCATAGTGTTGCATCACATCCAAGGAGCATAAAACACATCAGACACTGGAGGTTTTGGAAGCGTGCCATCAATGAATCGTTCTTTATTCTTTGAGATCAATGCAATGTGCATTGACCTAACCCAAATATGATAATGCTTATCATCAAGAAGTGGAGTAACAAGGATCAAGGATGGATTTTCATTAGGGTGAAGATAATAAGGATTGGAGGAATTCGTAGAAAAGTGTGAAATTCTAGTACACCATCAAAGGATAAACAAAACAAGTTTGATTGCAAAAGAAAGGGAAAGAAGAATGAAAACGATGATGATCCTCATTAGAGAACAAGAATCACAAATCACAAGAAATAGTCGCAAGCGGAAGAAAATGAAACAAATCAAAAGATAACGGATTTGCAATCAAGATGAACGAAGGAGAAGATATTATCAGAAGGGAAACGATGGCTACCAGAGCTTTTAAAGCTCTGATACCATGTTAATGGTGAAGCATTCACCATGTGAATCCATGGAAAATAAACAATGCAACAAAAAACTAACATCAATGACTGAATCAATTAGAAAAATATTGAACTCTTTCATTTACTGAAAATAGATTACATGTATAATTTATATACAAAGAGGATAAGCTAAACTTCTATTATGTGATACTCGTGCTTAGTAATAGCTGAGGTAACATTAATACTATAATTATACTAATGTATTGAATATGATATGTACAATGGTATATAATACAAGAACTATACCAACACAAAGTCATCTTTTCATTCAACCAAAATAAAATGGTAAGGAAATAAAATAGTAATAAATAATAAAATGGAATAAAATAAATATCACTCGACTTCCAATCACTTCCATTTTCTACTAATTTAAATAATAATATTTTATTTTATTACATCTCATACGCTCAATTTATCACATTCCATCAATTAAACAAATTGCATGTTGATATATATATATATATATATATATATATATATATATATATATATATATATATATATATATATATATATATATATATATATATATGCTCCAATTTAATATTTTCATCAACTTTAATAGAAGACTAAAAAGCATATTGGTTAATTGTTAAACATAATTAGAAAGAAAGTAAATATAAGAAATAAAAATATAATCTTGTAGAATATATATATAATATATTTATGTATAATTTACAATATGAATGCATATATACGAAAATGTTGTTGTTTTGTTTCCAAGATTTTTAGTTTTTGAGTCTCTCTCTCTCTCTCTCTCTGCAACAACCAACACGAACAATGGCTACTTCACTGCCTCCCAAAGAAGCCAACCTCTTCAAGCTTATTGTTGTAAGCTACCACGCTCTCTCTTTGCTTATTGTTACTCAGATTCAATTTTATTCACTCTTACACACTTCTTTATACCCTAGATTCTCACGCCATCGTTGGTAACTGTTTGGGATTTTAGGTTGAATTTACTTGTTGTAATTTGAAGTCTCTGGGAATTGATAATTTGAACTTGTACTTTCTTGGATTCTCTTTGTGCTCTTTCTTTGTTTTGCTTTGAATTTACTTGTTTTGCTCTTTATTGCCTCTGTATGGGATTAAAACGGAAACACGAAAATGGTTTGGCATTTTTCTTTTTGTTGCTCAAAAGCTTACACTACTAGAATTTGATGCATTAATTGTGTGAAATTATATTTTTCTTTTTTAGGTCATGCATTAATTGTATGCTGAGGTCATTTTCTTTTCTTGTTATTGATGCAGAAATCATACGAGACCAAGCAATACAAAAAAGGCATCAAGGCAGCTGATGCTATTTTGAAAAAATTCCCAGACCATGGAGGTATACATTTTTTGCTGGTAATTCCTTTAAATGCGGGATATTAATGTATGTCTAGTTTGCAAATTGTTTTCTATTTTCATTTCATGTTTTTCACTTTTGTACTCGAAATAGTAAAAACAAAAACAAAAACAAAAAGTTTCATTGTTTCTTATACATGATTTATTTCCTATTTTTGAAGTCTTTTACAAGAATCAATATAAACTTTGACAACTAGAAACAATGGAAAACAAAGTGTAATTTTTTTGTAATTAACAGTGAAAATAAGAGCCGAAAATAGAAGACTTTTTAAGCTTCCTTTCCAAGTTGTTTGAATCATTCAAGCAACACCTTTTTAAATCTATCTTCCCCTATTCTATCTCATTGCTCTTTGTTGCAGCATTAACATATTTGGCTTCTTCGGTCATATATATTTTTAACATTTATCTATGCGTCCGTTCCTTTTTCTGCATGATAGAAACTCTATCAATGAAGGGTTTAACATTAAATTGCATGGATCGTAAGTCTGAAGCATATGAACTTGTTCGTCAAGGATTGAAGGTCTGTGTGTTGTCTCTGATTTTACTTGATTTATTGATCTTTCAATCATTGTTTATCAAGTGATTTGGCTTTACTATTGTTCCGGTACAGAATGATCTTAAAAGTCATGTTTGCTGGCATGTTTTTGGTCTCCTTTATCGGTCAGACAGAGAATACAGGGAGGCAATCAAGTGCTACCGAAACGCCCTGAGAATAGATCCTGACAATATTGAAATTCTGCGTGATTTATCACTCTTACAGGTACTTTCTTAAATTCATTTTACCTTTACTTTCTTCTTTATATTCGATATTGGATATGAACTCAGAAAGTATTTGAACGCACACACATGCATACAGTGTAATGGTTTTAACTTGAATATTACTCTTTTATGCTGGCATGTTTTTGAGTCAGAAATTGTACTGCTCAGAGTTTGTTTAATTTGTGGATACATTTTGGCTTATTTCTAAAATATATCAGGTTTTTAGCCAGAAGTCATACAAAACATATGACCGAACAAAAAGTGACTAAGAGATGGGTTAGACGGAGAAGTTTCTATAGACACGTGGCTTAAACTTTTGAACAAATAAATCTGATTTACACGTGAGCTAATGATAGTTAGGTAGAAAATGTAAAAATGAAGTTTGCCAGGTTAGGATCTTTAGAGATCACGGCTCACATGCATGTTTCTCATCTATTCATTTTGAATCTTGATTATCTGGTAGAACTGAAGATGCAGAGATACCTGTTATATTGAAGAGTGAGCTCTACTGAAAGAGTAGTGCCAAGGAAGGCCACTGGATAATGTTGTAAACTTCTTTCTTGAGAGACAACTATCAACCTCTCGATTTAAATTACAGAAAGTCAAGATTGCCATCCCATATTTTTGAGGCATTAAGTCATCTAAATGCAGCTATTGCCTCGCAAAGGATAAAATATACTAGCCTAACAACTGATTATTAACATGTCCGTTTAAATAAAATATGCACTAGTATATAATCAGCGATTCTTTTTTATAATGTAATTTGGTCTACTTATGTGATAGTTCTTTCTACTCTTTACTGACAGGCTCAAATGAGAGATTTATCTGGCTTTGTTGAGACTAGACAACAACTTTTGACTCTTAAACCAAATCATCGCTTGAACTGGATTGGCTTTTCTGTTGCCCATCATTTAAACTCTAAGTATGATATGTATTTATTTTGATTTCCCCCTCAAATGTTGACACCTTAAACTGAAATTCGTTGTTGCATGCTGGTCTAGGAACAGTTGTCCTTGACTCAATATCTGTATTTTACAGTTTGCCTCTATTGTACTTAATTTTTCCGTCCTATTTTAGCTTTTCAGAGATTTTTTTGGGGAACCAAATGATATATTTAGTTGTGCAGACTCCGTCATTTCTTTTATTTACTGAAGTCTACTCTGAAACTGTGGGTCATTTCATTAGTCTAGTTTTCTTATTACAAGTAGTTGTTGAAATGTAATACATACCTTTTTAATCTGTAACAGTGCGTCCAAGGCTGTGGAAATTTTGGAAGCATATGAAGGCACGTTAGAAAATGATTATCCTCCTGATAATGAACGGGGCGAGCACGGGGAAATGATTTTATATAAGGTTATCCTTTGACAGAATGTCTGCATCTGTTTCTTATTGAATGCTCAATGCTCATACATATATTTGGTGTCTGATATGACTTTTAGCTTAATTAAATTTACTATGTAAACGTATTACATATCAAATTTTTTCTCATAACTTATAGTTTTTAAAACTGTATGAAAGCATCAGTGGTAACTTGTCTTTGACCTTGGTGTCTATGGTTAAAACTGATAATGTAAAACCTGGACTGGAAATTTGGTGACCCAGTTCTCATGCTAATCTATTTAGAAATGTTACCACTGTTAAAATATTAGATAGTATTATACAATATCTTTATATTATCTTATTTTATCTATAAGATCAATTTGTAATCTTAGAGTATCTTAGATTATCACCTAGGATTAGTTTCTATATCTCTTGGGAATTTTGGGTTGATTGTTTACCTGAGGCTGAATCAGCTATTTAGTGATCTGACTGACTGGGTCAATCATTGATCCAAAAGGTTTTGACTGTAAAAATGAAAGGGGCACCCTGGTGCTCTACGTCCCCATCATGGTGGGGTCTAGAGGAGATTTGGATCCATGTAGGCAGTCTTACCTTGTGTTTGAGAGACTGATTCTTGAATAAATGGTTTATGATAAAACACATGACTAAAGTTAAATTGCATTTGTTGAATGCGGTTCTTTTTTCTTTCTTTCTTTCAGTTCTACTGGGTTTTATTTTTATAAAAATGCTTTTTGTGCCACTTATTATTGCTCAGATCTCTTTGTTAGAGGAATGCGGATTTCTTGATAAAGCTCTTGAAGAGTTACGCCAAAACGAATCGAAAATTGTATGTATGCTATATTTACCTTGGTAATTTGATAATTTAACTTACTATCCATGATATATAACTTGTTTGTGATTGTCTTTTTAGGTTGATAAACTTGCTTTTAAAGAACAAGAGGTTTTACTTGTAGTGAAGCTTGGTCATTTAGAAGAAGCAGAATCATTGTACAGGATATTACTTTCCATGAATCCTGATGATTATAGGTAATGAAGAACACTTATATTTTAGGTCAAAGTGTCTCAATTGATCAGTCATTTTAGATGTTTTTTCCTTTTTGTGTTTCCCCGTTTTTCTTGTTTATTTTTTATGCCTGAATGGTTTATTTAACACATTTCTAGCTTATAATTATTCTTTATGCAAAAGTTATGTTTCTATTACTCATTGTGTTATGAATGTTGAGATGAATACATATTGTTTAAGGTGGTTCTTATTTATACTTTTATCACGACTGTTTCTTTTACTCCCCCCACCATTTTCTTATGACACATAACAACTATACTTTTTCTTCTCATAGCTTTTTTATCTTGGTTGGTTTTGTGCATCTTTCGTGACCTGCTTTTGTGCCTATTTTGAAGTTATTAGGCCACTTCTCCAATCCTGTATAGAATTTAGAAAGAACCGTAGTATCCAGGGTTCCATTTTTCATTTCTTCTTTGAATCAAGGAGCTCAACCTGTATGATTGAGCATTCAAGTATACCCAAACCATTGGATCTGGACTCTCATCATCTCAAACTTCTCTCAAGATTCAGATTGTTGAAGACTAAACCAAACTGCTATTATAACCAGTTGACACAACCTTCCTGAAGGTTCTCCATGACACATTCTAATTGCTTTCCTACTGGGAAGCCCCCCATCTGAGAGAACCAGGGCCTCGCTTGTCCCCAATCTAATTTCCCCAAATGACTATCTCTCGCTCTCACCCCCTATTATTTATGGGCAACATGCTTTATTTATTTCTTCTAACTATCTCAGTTTTCTTAACTGACCGAGTCTCTTTACTAACATACCTATCTCATTGTGCTATTTGTATTGGTCCAGAAGTTCAAACAAAAGTAAAATATTGTAAAATGCAGACAATGGTGTTTGAACTCTCCATAGTGTCTAATATGGTTATGACTACAATTTTGAAGTTCTGTATGCTCCTTTCTAGTGGTCGAGACTGACCAATTTGAACATGATAATATTTGAAAAAGGGGACTAAATATTTTGTTGATATGTCTTACGTTTGGAACCGAGAACTTTATACCTGTGATTTTGTGTATTTGTTGTTTACTTGACTTCTCTTATAAGTGGAAGTGTGAATTCTGCTTAAAGGTAGATTAGGATAAAGCTCATCTTGTCTACTTTTTTCTAGAGAAATTGGTTTATTTATTTTTCATTGAATTGATGAAGGGATAATTTTTGCTGCAGTTTCCTTTTTTTGGCACTCATTCATTTGATAAACTATTTATTTTTATTAGCTATACTTGTAGAAGTTAAACATTTGTTCTTGTTTCATGTTATCAATCAGTTACTATGAGGGTCTCCAAAAGTGTGTTGGTTTGTATTTAGAAGATGGGAAGTACTCTGCTGATCAAATAGATCAGTTAGTTTCATTGTATGAAACACTTGGGCAACAATATAAGTGGTCTTCTGCAGTAAAGGTAACACTGTTCGTAGTTGTTATTGCTAGTCATTGATACCTTTTTGTTTAATATCTTTCCTTAAAAGTTTAACAATCATCAGTAATATTATGCAATTTATGATGTATTATCTGTAGAAATATATTTTATATTTCCTTGTATTTGATGAGAATTACATATACTGTATTTATAAAATACATAAGGCAGGATTTGGAAGAAAAATCTGACCTAAGAATCAGGGGAATTAATTTCCCATGAATGCTAATTCTAATTACAGAAAGGACTAGGAAATAATAGCTAGTTAATTACATTAATCCTAATTTTCAATGAGCTGTACAAACAATCATTTGATTCTGTTATGATTATTCCACACTCCCCCTCAATCTGGGTGGTAGATGTCTATCATACCCAGATTGAATCTGATATTCTCGCATATATTCCTTGAAAGGGCTTTTGTTAGAATGTCTGCAGTTTGCTGGCATGATGGAATATGGTTAACACTTATAATTTCACGATCAATTTTCTTTTTGATGAAGTGTCGGTCTATCTCCACATGCTTTGTTCTATCATGCTGTATCGGGTTCTTCGCAATGCTAATAGCAACCTTGTTATCACATAATATCTTCATGGGGTGATTGGTAGGAATTTTGATCTCATCTAGCATTCGCTTAAGCCAAATTCCTTCACAAATGCCTTGTGACATAGCTTTGAATTTTGCTTCTGCGCTACTCCTAGCCACAACATATTGTTTCTTGCTCCTCCAAGTTACCATATTACCCCATACAAATGTGTAGTAGCCTGTAGTCGATTTCCTGTCAGATAAACATCCTGCCCAATCAGAATCGGTGTAGACTTCAATACCTCTGTTTGAGTTCTTTTGAAAATAAAGTCCTCGGCCTGGAGTACCTTTCAGGTACTGGAGAATTTTGTTCACATTTCTCATGTCAGTTTCAGTTGGATTTGACATATAACGACTAGTCATGCTTACAGCAAAACCAATGTCTGGTCTGGTGTGAGTTAGATAGATTAGTTTTCCGACTAGACTTTGATATCTATCTTTATTAGCTGGTACATTCTCATCTTCTCTCCTTTTTTACTTGTTCTATGGGAGTATTGGCAGCTTTGCATCCAAGCATACCTGTTTCTTGAAGTAAATCCAGAGTGTACTTCCTTTGAGAAACTGAAATCCCATTCTTTGTTCGTGCAATTTCCATCCCTAGAAAATACTTGAGTTGTTCTAAGTCTCTGACTTCAAATTCTTTTGCTAGAAGTTTCTTTAACTGGTTGACTTGTTCATCATCATCTCTCGTAATTACGATATCATCAACATAGACAATAATCAAAGCTATCTTCCCATCCAAAGAGTGCTTGACAAACATAGTATGGTCTTTTTGATATTGAACAAAACCATCTTGCTTAACAACTTTTGTTAGTCTATCAAACCATGTCCTTGGTGATTGTTTGAGGCCATATAGAGATTTTCGAAGTCGACACACCATGTTGGAGGTTCCAGGTGATTCAAGTGCCGGAGGAATTTGCATATATACCTCTTCTAATTCTCCATTTAGAAATCTTTTCTTTATATCTAGTTGGTGTAGGGGCCAATCTAGATTTGCTGTCAGAGATAGTAGAACCCAGACAGAATTGAGCTTCGCAACAGGGGCGAAAGTCTCCTCATAATCCACCCCATATGATTGTGTGAACCCCTTAGCAACCAACCGGGCTTTGTACCTGTTTATACTCCTACAACATTGTGCTTAATTGAAAATATCCACTTGCATCCTACTGCTTTCTTCCCTTCTGGTATAGCAGCAGTGATCTCCCATGTGCCATTTCTTACAAGTGCTTGAACTTCTTCTGTTACAGCTGCTGCCCATTCAGGTTTCTGCAATGCTTCTTGAATATTATTTGGAATTTCGATGTTGTCAACAGCTGCTACAAAGAACCTGTAACTTTGATGGTTTTCCGTAGGAGATATATTTTTCAATAGGGTGTTTCGTGCAAGTTCTAACCTTTTCTCATAGCAATAGGAATATCAATATCTGTTGTATCAACATGTTTAGAGTTAGGAAGAATATTACCTGTGGGAACTTCATTTTCTAGAGTTTGGTTTGACTCATGGCTTTGCATTGGAGCTATGCTTGACTCTACCTCCTTCCTCCTCCTTTTATAACAAAAACCCTTCCAATTACCTGTTTTTGGATCACAATCCTGTTGAGATGTGAATGAGATTATAATTGGTCCTGTTTCCGTCACAACTTCTGTTGTCCTTTCACTCGGCTGAATGTTTGAGGTTTGGTCTGGTAATTTTCCAGCTGGTTTAGGCATAGGTTCGGCCAGATCAAGAGGCAAAAGTTGGTATTCTGAATTTTCGATATGATGTATGTATGATTGCTCCCCCTGAATACCAGTTTTGGTGTAATTGGGTTGATTTTCAAAGAAGGTTACATCCATAGTGTGGTTAAAATTTTTTGGTACGGGGAGAGTAACACCTATATTCCTTTTGGTGAGGAGAGTAACCAAGAAAAATGCATTTGATGGATTTTGGGTCTAATTTGCTTCAGTGAGGGTTGAGGTTATGGACAAAAGTGGAGCATCCAAATATGTTTAATGGAATAAAGGAAAAGATTTTGCTAGTTGGAAATAGGTTTTGAAGTGTGGAAAGTGGGGTCTTAAAGTTAAGGATACGGGAGGGCGTTCGATTTATAAGGTGAGTTGCTGAAAGGACAGCTACTCCCCAAAAGTGTTGTGGGACATTTGTGGCTAACATGATTGATCTAGTCACTTCTAAAATGTGTCTATTCTTCCTTTCTGCTACTCCATTTTGTTGGAGAGTGTCCACACACGAGCTTTGGTGAATAATTCCAACCTTTTGAAGATAGGAATTTAGAGCAAGGTTGTAATACTCACGACCATTGTCAGTTCCAAGTATCTGAATATTGTTTTGGAATTGTGTTTGTACCATCTTATGATAAATTTCAAATATTCTCCCTACTTCTGATTTTTCCTTCATTAGAAACACCTAGGTGACACGTGTGTGATCATCAATAAAGGTGACAAACCATCTCGAGCCTGTAATGTTGTGGACTCATGATGGTCCCCATGCATCACTATGAATTAAAGAAAAAGGTTTGGAGGGTTTATAGGATTGGGGTGAGTAATGGTTTTGGGTATGTTTAGACAATTGACAAATTTCACACTGAAAATGTTCCTTGTTTTTATTGAATAAAGAGAGAAACATTTTTTCCGAGTATATGAAATTTGGGTGGCCTAATCTATAGTGCCACATCATTACAGGATTATTATGATAATTATTCTTGAGTTTTTCTTCTGATTTTTCCACTTGAAGGAGGTAGAGTCCACCACACTCTTCAGCATTGCCAATCGTCTTCCCCGACTCCAAAGTCTGAAATTCACACAAGTTAGGGAATAATTAGTAACACATTTCAAATATCTTGTAATCTTGCTAATAGACAGCAAGTTATAATCCAGTTTAGGCACATACAAAACTGAGTCAAGTGTAATATTTGGTGAAATGATAATTGATCCTTTACCCATGACCTTAGAATGTGTACCATCAGCTATTCGAACGTTATAGTTATATGGACATGGAGAATAACTATTAAACAAAGTAAAATCTCCAGTCATGTGATCTGAAGCCCCTGAGTTAACAATTCATGATTTTGTTTTTTCCTTACTAGTGTTTAGAGCATGTAAGTAATTACCTCTTTGAGCCACTATGGCAGTACCGCCTTTTTCTGCAGTTAACATGGTTTGCTGAAAGAGTTTTTGAAGAGCCTCCATTTGTTCTTTGCTAAAAAGAGATGAGTTATAGTATACCTCAGCTTCTTGATTGTTAAATGCTGTGTTACCTCTGTCCTCCTTGCCTTTGAACAATTTGGTCTCTGAAGGTTTTCAATGTATGATCCAACATGTTTCCTTTGTGTGACCTGGTCTCTTGCAGTGATCACACCAGGGGCGAGTTTTCTTTTGTGGTGGCCGAGGCTGATTCCCTCTTGTTGCCATTGCAGAGCTCTCGCTGTACGTAACTAAGTTGGGTGTTCTCAACATGATTTTCCTCCTGCTTTCTTCCCTTCTCACTTCTGAAAAGGCTTCTCGAATTTTGAGAAGTGGTTTGGTTCCAAGGATCCTTCCACGAACTTCATCTAGGTCCTTGTTTAGCCCCCAATAGGAATTTGTAAATCCTATCTTTTTCCACCAGTTCCTTATACTTCTTTTGATCTTTTGTACAACACCATGTAACCTCTTCATATATGTCAAGTTGCTGCCAGTGTTTGTTAAGTATATTAAAATACTCAGTAACAGAAGATTCTTCCTATCGAAGGTCATGAAGAATGTTTTTAATCTCAAATACGACAAATGTATTGTCAACATTTGAGTATGTTTCCTTCACTGCATCCCATATCTCTTTTGCAGTGTCATAGAACATGAAATTTTCACCAATTTCATTTGTCATGGTATTGAGCAGCCATGACATTACTTGGCTGTTCTCAAGTTTCCATTTTTGAAAGTTTTTGTCTCCTTTTTCGAGACATTTAGAACCTCCTGTGGTGTAGCCTTCCCTTCCTTTTCCTTCGAGGAAGATCTTGACTAACCTTATCCATTGGATATAGTTTTGGCCATTTAATTTATGGCATGTGATGAGGTGAGTGAGCCCTTCGTGTGAACTGGTCACAAATGATCTAGTCTCCACTTTGAGCGACTCATTAAATTTGGGATCCTCCATAGTTTGGCGGCACTAGGTTAGGGATGGTTCAGATCGTGCTCTATTACCATGTAGAAATATATTTTATATTTCCTTGTATTTGATGAGAATTACATATACTGTATTTATAGAATACATAAGGCAGGACTTGGAAGAAAAATCTGACCTAAGAATTAGGGGAATTAATTTCCCATGAATGCTAATTCTAATTACAGAAAGGATCAAAAAATAATAGCTAGTTAATTACATTAATCCTAATCTTTAATGAGCTGTACAAACAGAATCAAATTCTGTTATGATTATTCCACATTATCCATGCAAGACATTTGAAGTACTTGCTTTTCCTGTGGAATTGAATTTCCTAATATATAAGAGTATTACTGTGTTGTTGATAGTGTTTTTGGAGGCAGGTATTTCATTGTTTTATGCTTGGTTTTAAATGTTGCCAAAACTTGAATCAAGTACCTGTTTCTTAGAGTTTGACTTAACTCAATCTTACAAAACCGGTTGGAAAGGTGAGAAGCGTCACTCTATACGAACTCTTTCAATGCTCTATCTCCAACTAATGCGTGTGGTCATAATGTCTTAACTTTGTGTTTTCAATAACTTTGGAAATTTAAAATACATGGATATTGAATTACAACAATTTAATTATTTTTGTTTGCAAAATCATTTGTTTGCATTTTTTCCATACACATACTATTGAATAATTGGAAGTTGCTAACTACTCTAAATGCAAATTTGTCCTGGTCCTCATCACACATGAATCTCAAAGTGAACTCTGTTATTGAATGTATAAGCGGATGTTTAGGTAGCTGTTCGATGTCATCCAAACTGCCTATGAATGGTACATTTTGGTTATAGGAAACAATTTAGGGAGGATTTCAAAAACTATTTTGTGGGTATTTTGCAGTCTTATACACGCCATTGCAGCCTGTGGTGCTGCCATGGCGGGCATTATGGCGGTTGTGAATAAATCTGCATTGCCATTATGGCGGTGATGCAGCGAATTGAAGAGGTGTCATTTTTGCAGTTGTCACTAATCTGGTAATGTACTCGAGAAAGAGAGACAGTGTCAGCGCATGATCTGTTTGCCCACCAGGCACAACTTTCAAAGTCTGCTTTGCAGTACAGCACTAAAGTTGAGTCACAATAGTTACATGGAGAGAAAGTAAAGTGGGTGGAAGAGGGGATGGCGTAGGGCCAGCGGCAAGATCCAAGAGGGTGGAAGTACATGTGGCTGGGAGAGGGTTCACCTCGAAGATGCGGTACTGGAGTGGGTTGGAGGGGAAGGGAGAGATGAAAGCGGAAGTGGAGAGAGAGGTCTGTAAATAAAATATTTGAGAAAATTTAAATTCGACTGATCAGCTGTTTTAAACTAGGGTACTCTATACACAGCTACTAAAGAAGTAATCCTATTTTTGTTGACATCTTCATCGATCAATGTGTGCATTTTCTAGAAGTAGTATGGGTAATGCTAGGTGCTCTACTGATTGGACAATTGTTTTGGATGAAATTCATTCTTAGTGGATTTTTTTTGCTTGCCAGAGAATACCCCTGGATTTTTTACAAGGTGACAAATTTCGAGAAGCAGCAGAAAATTATATTAGGCCTCTCTTAACTAAGGTATACAACCCTTTTCGTATTTTATGTGCCCTGTTTAGTTTTTTCGAAATTAATAAAATTTCTCTGTGTTGTTTCTAGGGAGTTCCATCTCTGTTTTCTGATCTTTCTTCTTTGTACAATCATCCTGGGAAGGTCAGTTTTATCACGTACATTTCTATTATTAAATTTGTTAGAGATTTCATAATTTACTTTTTTTGTCATTTCTACTATTTTGACTTTTTCTGATTTATTTTTCTTTATTTTATTTAAACATTGTCCAGGCAGACATTTTGGAACAACTTATTCTTGAGTTAGAGCATTCAATTAGGACATCAAGCCAATATCCTAGGAGGTAACTTGTGAGATTTTTTTCGGTAACACGTGAATTGAGTAAAATATTCATATGATTTAATTGTTATCTTGGATATCTCTTGGTTAACTCTTGAATGAAGAAAGGGAAGAGAGGTGGAAGGGAAGCATACATGCCCAATGTTTTTTTAGTCAGTAATTGAATTTCCCATGGAACAACCTTAAGCAGAGAACCCCACAAGAAACCATGGACACAACTGTATCCCATGTCAAATAAATGGCAATGATAATTCTAGTTGGTACTTTCGTTTTATATAAATAATCATTGTCTCTCTTTTATACAGTACGGAGAAAGAATCCCCTTCAACTCTTTTGTGGACTTTGTTTTTCTTGGCTCAGGTTTGTGGCTGCTGTTTGATATTTAGATTAATTTCCTGCTTCCTTTCCTTTCACTAATAGATTTGTACTGGTGCAGCATTATGACAGGCTCGGCCAATATGCGAATTCTCTTTCTAAAATCGACGAGGCTATAGAACACACACCTACTGTCATTGATCTATATTCTGTCAAGGTTTGTTCAGAGTTATGAGCACCATTCTGCTCGTTATTGGATTTGTTAATTTTTTATGCCGTCCTTCCTATATATTATGAAGCATCGTATGATTGTAGTTAACCGAATACCATTACAGATTGTTAAGAGTCCCACATCGGACAATATATGGCCTGAACATGTGTTTATAAGTGGGGGCAATCTTCACCCTACAAGCCGATTTTGTAGGATTGAATTAGGCCCAACCACATCTTAATATGGTATCAGAGTCTCGTTTAAGATCCAGTGGGCCATCCACCATTTATTTCCACGCTCCAGTTGTCTAGTCCTGGGCGTGAGGGGGTGTGTTAAGAGTCCCACACCGGACAATATATGGCTTTATAAGTGGGGGCAATCCTCACCCTACAAGCCGGTTTTGTAGGGTTGAATTAGGCCCAACCACATCTTAATACAGATAAATGACTCTTAACTATGGTTTGGCTGATTAACGTTTAGAATTTCTTTGACACATTATTTATTCAGAGTTTTAACCATCCTTCTTTGTATTAGACATTTGGTCAGCATTGTCACATAAGTTATTGCCATGTGTATTGCGAGTTATATGTGACGCCCTTGCGCTTAAAAAGCCCTTCAGCCCCTTCTTGACTAATTTTGCATTTTGCCTTACAGTTTCTATCATATTGCTTTACTTGTTTCAGAATGCTTAAATGCCATATAATTTATCATTTTTATGTTAATAGAGAAAGATAAGATATTTGTGCACAGTAAAAAGCTTAACTTTTGGGTATTGAGCTTTTTAATGACATAAGAAAGCACTTCAATCTAAAAACAGAGCTTTTCTATGCTTTTGAGTGCAAACACATTATTATTGAAATTCAAAGCAAATCAGATGATTAAGAGTACAGATGGATAAAATGAATAGAAGCTGAGATTGGAATTACTGGTGCTTTTGTCCACATTTAATTACAAAATTGAAAGAATTCTGATTGTCTTGTATAACAGAGTCGGATATTGAAGCATGCTGGTGATTTGAATGCTGCTGCTGCATTTGCAGATGAAGCAAGACGTATGGATCTTGCTGACCGTTATGTTAATAGTGAATGTGTTAAGCGGATGCTGCAGGCTGATCAGGTTTTTGTTTTTAATTGCATTATATTTATATATCGACTAATTAGCATAGTGATTAAGAGTTTTTTTCTGCTTTTCTGACTCTGCTGTATTTTTACATTCCCTTGCTATCAAGGTTGCTTTGGCAGAAAAAGTTGCTGTGTTGTTCACAAAAGAAGGAGATCAGCATATCAACCTTCATGATATGCAATGCATGTGGTTAGTATACAATGATGTGTTAAATTTTTGCACATTCAATTTGAGGGTTATTGTCTTAATTCATGTTGTAATATCTATACTTGCAAGGTATGAGCTTGCCTCAGGTGAAAGCTTTTTCCGCCAGGGCAATCTTGGACGGGCTCTCAAAAATTTTTTAGCAGTGGAGAAGCATTATGCCGATATTATTGAGGACCAATTTGACTTTCATTCATACTGCTTAAGGAAAATGACTTTGCGTACTTATGTTGAAATGCTTAGATTTCAAGACCAATTGCACTCACATGCATATTTTCATAAAGCAGCAGCAGGAGCTATCAAGTAAATATCATGTCATTTGTTGGTGTGTTTTTTAGTGCATGAGTTGTCTCTGAAAATCCAGGAATGTGGTTTTTTTCCCTGAAAAATGCGCCTTCATGTATTTCAACTTTTTGAGTAAAAAAATGTATTTCCACGTTCAGAATATTTTATTAAAAATTGGAATTTAAAATTGCGTGCATTTTTTATATTTATTTCATTTCTTTATATTTATTAATGTTTTGTTTTTTATTTTTATTTTTCATATACGTATCTTAAACGTATCACATGCTATATTTTTAGAGAAATAATGTATTGCTGTATCGGATATGTGTTGTATCAGATACTTGTATTATGTCCGTGTAATATAGGTTGTTATGCTTGGTAGTGTTGGCAATGCCTTGGGTAAAAATGGTACATGCATGGGAATAGAAAGCCCTTCTCAAATACACACACGAAGCAAGTCTATAGGGAAAATGAACTTGTGATTGTTATTTGAACTTTCTTTTCCTTTGCTGTTTCTAACATTCTCCGCTTCACAGTTTTTTTGAGTCTAAGGGTTTTCTGACTAATGCTTCAAGTTTGGCGTGGTTTATAGTTTTTATGACCTAACCAACACTCCTTAAGGATTGCTAAGTTAATAATATAAGTGAAACACGTTATTTCTGATTTTGTATTCATGATATTTATATTTATATCACTCTGAGCTGCAGATCTTATATTAAGTTGCATGATTTTCCCCCAAAGTCTACAACAGAGGAAGATGAGCATATGTTAAACTTGCTTCCTTCTCAAAAAAAGAAATTGCGACAAAAGCAAAGGAAGGCAGAAGCAAAAGCTAAGAAAGTAATGTAGTCATGTCCACAGCTTCTAGTAACTAATGCACTACAGTCTTTAAAGTTGCTGATCCTTTTGTTATATTGTGTTTTTAGGAGGCAGAAGAAAAGAATGAAGAATTAAATTCTAGCACGGCATCAAAGTCTGGGAAGCGGAATGTAAAACCTGTTGATCCTGATCCTCATGGGGAAAAGTTAATGCAGGTTAGTAACTATAGGGGTGACCATTGTTGTGGTTAATATCACCTTGCATATTGCAAGTGTAGATGGGTAAAGATAACAAATGGGTTTAGATTCATTATATATGTTTGGAATATGTGAAAAAATATCTTAATAAATAATCTAATATGTATATAATAAATAAAGTACATTAGGATAACTTAACTTACATTATCCCTTACGATTAGTTTTAGGTTTATTCAAATTTTTTTTTGTCAAGTAGCCTAATGGCTGGAGTTCACTCTTCAAAGGTGAACAAGTGCAATGTCGCGGGTTCGAACCCGCGACCCTGCAACTGATGTCCCTTCTCAGCTACCAACTTTTATTTCAACATATTATTCACATTTTATCTTTCTAATTTGATTTTTCTGAGCATTTGATTTACCTCCCTCTAAATCTTATGACTGAATCTTATTATAACTTCAACAATGTAAATATGAATAATAATATTCTGAGCTCCTCTGTAAATTGACAAGTTAAAATGCTATACTGAAAAATATTAAGGCATGTCATATTTATCAAATGTTGAAATCTGTAGGATGCATAAAAGTATCAGGTTTATCAAACACTCTTTTTCAATTCAGAATGTGTGTTACCATAGTTAATAGTCATTATAATTGTTAGTACTGAAATAGACCCATCTCTTGTGTGTTTTTCCATGCTTAGGTTGAAGATCCATTGTCCGAAGCTGTTAAATACTTAAAGTTGCTGCAGAAGAATTCACCTGATTCATTGGAAACACATTCGCTCTCTTTTGAATTATATACAAGAAAACGGAAGATTTTGCTTGCCTTTCAGGTGTGAGGAGGCTAGTAACTTATCATCAGGCATCGTTTGTTTTTGTTATCATGCAAATTTAATGTGTTTTCTTCTTCTTCATTTACACTGTGATGTCAATTTAATGTGTTTTCTTTGGTGAGTTGTAGGCTGTAAAGCAGTTACTGAGATTGGATGCTGATCACCCTGATTCGCATCGTTGCTTGGTATGGTATCTCCTCTGGAAGATCAAATTAGTTCCATTTTATTGGAGAAAGTTTTTTTAATGTTCTTTTATATATCAAAGCTATACTACATATTTATTCCATCTTTGCATAGTAGCATCTCTGTAAACTTAATATACTTCAAAATTATTTGTTCATATAATGAAATATTTAAAAAGCAGTAGATTAGGCAATCCGAAAAGAAAATGTACTTTTGGATTTGCACAAGCTATTCCTGGTCTGTCATTCAAATTCTTTATTCTCATGCTTAGGATGCATTTTGTCTCATTTTTCGTCTGATTTCTTGTTTCCTCCATCCCACACAGACACAAGTAAAAAATCTCTTTGTGCTTGCAGATTAAATTTTTCCATCAATTTGGATCCATGGGTACTCCTGTGACTGAAAGCGAGAAACTGATATGGAGTGTCTTAGAAGCTGAGTGCCCAACTATTAGGTTCTTGATGGCTTAGTTTATTGCTTTTTGTTTTTCTTTCATTTTTTTGCAATATTGACTTTCATTTATTTTTAGATTATGATTTAATTTTTTACTTGACTCTTTCTTGCAGTCAACTGCATGAAAAATCTCTTCTTGACGCAAACAATGCTTTCCTTGACAATCATAAAGGTTGTCACAATGAATACTACCATCTTCGTGGCACCACATACATTTCAAGTTTCTTTATGAAGATTTTATATTGTTTCTCTATTGTTTGCAGATTCTTTGATGCATATAGCAGCTTTTACGGAAATCTTGTACATTTTGGATTCTAACAGAAAGTCTGAGGCTGTCAAGTTGATTGAAGAGTCAGCAAATAAAATTGTGCCTAGGTAATGTTTTACAATATCTTGCCATGTGTTATTAACCACACAACACACTTTTTATGTCGGTTAAGTATTGGATTAAGAAAATAATATATACCTACTTGACAGACTCTAACTTGAGAAAGCTTGCTGTAACTCATCATCTCATTCCACTGGAAGGGCGGCCTACCTGTTAGCCTCATTTTTAGTATGGAGGGTGTTGAAAATCTGAAATTGACTAGAGAATATGACCTTACAGGCCAATTTTGTGGGGTAAAGTTAGACCCTAAGGTCAAATTATGAGAAGCCTCACATATTGACTAGAAATGTGGCATAGATAGTACTTAAGGCTCAGACAATCCTCATCTTACAAGCGGTTTTGTAGAGATTGACTTGGAGTTTATGCCCAAGTTAGAAGAGAGGGACTTAGGTGCCTGTCTTAGAATTTAGTGATGGAAGTTAATAGTATGGAGAGAGTGAAATAATACATCTCACTAGAACTTAAACCTTTTGATCAGATAGATAGAGTTGAGATTGTGAGTGGATGAAACAATCACCTTCCTGTTTTTGTTGATGGAGATGAAATCAAACTGGACCTAGATCAAATAACACATCACATACTACTGGCAAATCATATAAAAAAAAAACTCAAAATGACGCCATATAATAAAATTGTATGATGTTCAAGTGGAGGCGTGCATGTGCATTGGTGTCTATCTACATATTGCTATATCTATCCTATAAAACTTTGGACTGTCCTGTTATGAATCATGTTTGTGTGACGGAAAGTGCTTCCCAAGCTTAAGCTCATTGTTTTCCTTTTAGTTTCATATTTTGTTTTGGAAACTGAGTAACACAGACATTAAATCTTTTCTTAAATTTCTTCTGCTAGAAATGAAGCAATCGGACCAATTGGAAAGTGGAAACTTAAAGATTCTATAGCAGTTCACAAGCTTCTTGGAACAGTACTTGTTGACCAAGATGCGGCATTGAGTAAGTATAATCGTGATTGTAGTGCAGATATTAGTTGACATTTCAATTTCTGACACCTTTATCTAAATTTATCCAATTCTCTATTTTTGCAGGGTGGAAAGTGCGGTGTGCAGAGAATTTCCCTTATTCAACTTACTTTGAGGGAAAACACAGCTCTGCCTCTCCCAACTCGGCCTTTAATCAGTTACGCAAGAACTCTGAAAATGTTAGTCCTAACCGTGCAGTTGATAATCAAAATGTGAGCTCTGCCACATCGAATGGCAAATCATTTGAAAATCTCACTATCTGATAAATACATTAATGAGGCTAACTGATATCTTCAAGTGACTTGGTAAACCAACTGCCTGCATTTTACACTCCCATAAAGGACAATGATGCAGCTTGCAGCATGTAACACAGTTTTGGTTCCTGTTATAGCAAATTCTACACACTCTACCTTCTCCCATCTGTGAAATCTATTCCATTTGCAAATGTGTATACTTTTACTTAAAGTAATGTTTTACAATTGACTTTCTTTTATTTGCTCTCCCTTTATTCCTGGGAGGTTAAAGAGGGTCTCCATGGATTTGCACCATTGTCCGAGGTTATCATTTTTCGTCAGGTGGAAGAGGGTGTCCATGGTTTTACAGAATTTTTAGGCTTCTGGTTCTGCATCCAACCAACAGAAATTAGGGAGAGCTTGTTGTACCTTTCCCCTTTGATTAGCTTATTAGAGCATGTTGTACCTTTCCTCTTTGATTAGCTAAGCTTCTGGTTCTGCTTCCAACCAACACAAAATCATGTATAAACATTAACTGAAGCTAAAATTTTGCTGCAAGATGCTGGAATGACAGCTTTACTTTTGGGTGGATTTAGTTACTAAAAGGATTTAGTTTAGTAATGTTGTATTCTAGACAGTGTTCTAACTTCTGCACAGAACTGAATGAAATGATTTTGTTCTGTTTTGAGAATGAAGTTATAATGTACCATTAATTTCAACTCCTAGTTTGGTTTATTTTTTAAATGCTGTGTGTTTTTATTTTGAAATAAAGTACATATAACATTTGACACCACTCACATGCGATGTTTCTTTAGTACTTTTATACCTTTAAACTTGTATAAGGGATTTTCATTATCTCATATGTATTTTTCACATATCTCATAAAATTTTGAAATTATTCTGTTTGAAAGTTATTTTTTGATTCCACTCGTACTTTTCAATTAGTGAAAAGAGGATATGTGAGTCAAAACATTATCTTTTTGTAAGTTATCCGAGTCCAAGTAACATTATGCGAATGATAACTAATGTAGTGCGAATGATTTGTTTTTTAAACCCTCACCCAAAACTCTATTTTTCAAGAGTGATTTCTTCAAAGAGAATTTCTTAAAGCACCATATATATTTTTAGTTCACCGTGTGAAAAGAAGACGTAAATATTTGTAAGAATTGGAAATATATTTTTGGTACGCATCTTGATCAGATATATTGTTGTCTAGACCATATGAAAAGGTGGGAAACGAACCGGAAATATGTATTATTATTATTATTATTATTATGGAAGAGAGTATAAAGGAAGAGAGTATAAAGAAATTTTTACCTTAAATTTTATGGATTACGAAGATGTTTGAATTCTACTTGTACTTAGTCTAGGTGTGAATAAGCGGAGTTTGTTAGACCAAGTACGCAGTTAATTCAGATATATTCGTATTCCTTTTTGAAAATTAATTGTTCGAATTAATTTTATTACGAAAAATAGTTTGGTGATCGTTTGAATATATTTTTTAGACGTATAGCAAGAGAGTCTGATATAGTCTCCTCATCACGTGGTCAGATATTTTGATATAAAATATTAAATTTGAAAAATTATAAAATTTGATTTTATGAAACAATTATTTACAAGATTTACATTGAATTAAATATATAGAATCACATTTTGGAATCATGCATCCTTGAATAATATAAGTTAATCAAATTTTCTAGTTATTAAAGTAAATAAATGAATTAAAAAAATCTATACTGCATGCACGTGGGGAGCACCTATTTCAAGATCTCCTACTAAACCTTCTAACTTTTATCATTCATTTTAAAAAACCTTGATACAATATTATTATTATTATTATTTATTATTATTATTATTATTATTATTATTATTATTATTATTATTATTATTATTATTATTATTATTATTATTATTATTATTATTATTATTATTATTATTATTATTATTATTATTATTATTATTATTATTATTTATTATTATTATTATTATTATAATTAAATAATAATAATAATAATAATAATAATAATAATAATAATAATTAATTATTATTATTATTATTATTATTATTATTATTAATAATAATAATTATTATTATTCATTATTATTATTATTATTATTATTATTTATTATTATTAATTATTATTATTATTATTATTATTATTATTATTATTATTATTATTATTAATTATTATTATTATTATTTATTTTTTTTTGAACCAAAAATGTTATATATTAATTCAAAAGACAGTAAATCAACCAAGGCAATCTCAACAGATTCAGCCATCTAAATCTACAAAAAGGCTAAATCATTAATCTAACAATATTAGGCCTAATCTTCCTATTTCCCCAGCATCTATACACTATACAATCAATAATTTTCTCTACCGAGTTGTTTTTATAAGTAGTATTATAAAAAATAGTAGTATTCCTAAGAAGTCAAATTTCATGAATTGCTTCTGTAAACTCCGTTTTGAGCACAGTTGCCCGCCAGCCCTTGCCTTTAGTACTAGCCAGAATCCACTTCAACTCATCCACCCAGAGAAGGGGTTTATGGTTGATCCCCAGCCAAGTTAAGGTTGCCATCCAAACAGTAATAGTTTTAGAGCAGTTAAAGAAAATATGGTTAGCATTTTCTTCCTCCAATCCACACAACCTACATAGGCTATCCTGAATAATACCAAATCGCACCAGTCTATCTTTAGTAGGGAGCTTTCCATGATACAACAACCAGGCAGTAAATTTGGCATTTGGCCTAGCGTGACTATGCAGAAGTAAATTACTCCATGTACTTCTACTCAAGTCATCAATAAGCAAAGTATAAACTGCTTTCATGAAAAACTTATGTTGAAGAAGCATTTGGTCCCAATGATGTTGGATTAGAGTGACCTTACTTCTAAGGTTCATAATGTTCCTAATGGTCCACGTCCAACTTTGCCCCACAATAGCTTCCATGACGTCACTATTTTTCAGATACACCTTATGTATCCATTTGACCCACAGGCTATCACTCTTATTGCTGATATTCCAAAGGCACTTGAGTAAGGCAACTTGGTTCCAAACAGTTAGGTTCTTGATTCCTAAATCTCCTTGCTTCCTAGGCTTACACATATTCTTCCAAGCAACATAACTCTTATTACTAGCATCATTCCTACCAGTCCAAATAAAAATCCTGCAAATAGTGTCAATCTTCCTAAGCACGTCTTTTGGAAGGGGGAAATTGAGCATCCAGTACTGAGTAATAGAGCAGATAATGATGTTCACTAGTTGGATACGACCAACATAGCTTAGCAGTTTCGTAGACCAATGACGGATATGACCAGTAATTTTCGCAATAAGAGGAAGGTAATGCTGCAAACTGAGCTTCTTGCTGCTGAGAGGAACGCCTAGGTAGCAGATAGGGAAGCTACCTTATGAAAAACCAACACTAGTACTAATTTTGTTTCTCTCTGTCAACTCCACAATGCCGAAGAAGATGTTGCATTTCCTGGGGTTAAAGATTAGGCCAATGGAAAGGGAAAAATTCCTAAAAGCTGTCATGAGAATATCAACAGAAACTGCATCACCTCTGCAGAATAGGAGGATGTCGTCTGCAAAAACGAGGTTTGTCAAAGCCATCTGCTCACATTTAGCGTGATGGTTAAAATCAGGATTTTTTTGCATTTTCACCAAGCATCTATCAAGATACTCTATCATGAGAACAAACAGGAGCGGGGACATTGGGTCGCCCTGTCTGATACCTCTCTCTGCCTGCAGGATATTAGACATGTTACCATTTATATTGAAGGCATAAGAAACTGTTGAAGTCGGGTTGAGGATCCAATGGACAAATCTGCTTGGGAAGCCCAGTTCCCTCATAATACTATCTAAAGCACCCCATTCAACCATGTCATAAGCCTTCTGAAGATCGATTTGCATCATGCACCTTGCAATACCATGCTTCCTATCATAACCTTTGACAAGTTCATAAACTAAGTGGATGTGGTTATGAATATCTTGACCTGAGACAAAAGCAGCCTAGTTTTTGTTTATAATGGTAGGCAAGACCTTCTTCAGTCTAGTTGTAAGAATCTTCGAGATGATTTTGAGGAAAACATTGCACCCAGAAATTGGCCTATAGTCCTTAATACCAATAGCTCTGTCTCCTTTAGGGATAAGAGTGACCAGAGTACTGTTAAAATTGCTAAGGATTGTACCTGTTCTAAAGAACTCCTCAACTGCTGTAATAACATCCATCTGCAGAATTTCCCAACAACTTTTGAAGAACTTGGCAGTAAACCAATCAGGGCCTGGGGATTTGTTGTCACCAATACTCTTCAAAGCTTCTTCAATCTCCTGGGCAGAAGCAGAATTGACAAGGATGATTTTTTGATCATTCAGAATCTGCCTGCCCATTCTCATAGCTTCCACATCAATATGCTTAGTTTGGTTTGGGGTCTCTCCCAGCAGGTGGAGGTAAAAATTCATAATCTCTTTTTCAATATTGTTGTGCCCTGTAATGACTTCCCCACTACCTTGCTGCAGGAATTTGATGTAGTTCCTTTGTTGCCTAGCTTTAATATGCGCAAAGTAGAATTTGTTATTGCCATCACCTTTTTAATCCAGTCAATTTTCGCCCTTTGGATCAACCTATTCTCTTCATGGTCATGAAGATTAATGATATCTTCAGTAAAAGTTTTGATATGCTCTATCAAGTTACCATCCTGCCTGTTATTTTTGAGCTCATTTTGGGCTTTATGTAACTTCTCCCTCGCTACTAGCAGCCTCTGCTTTATGTTACCAGTCTGTTTACTAAAGTTCTTAATGTCTTCCTTTAGTCTTTGGAGCTTGTACCATAGGACATGCATAGGGTCCCCACGGGCTGGTTTATCCCAGGAAGCCTTGACCATCTCTTTGAAACCATTGATGTCAATGAGATAATTGTTGAATTTAAAGTGATTCCTTCTTTTATCCTCAGTAGGCCCACTGATAAAGAGCAGGGAGTGGTCAGAAACATTGGGAGGCAAAATACTCAGCACATGCTCAGGATAGTG